CACAGACGCAGGTGATTCTGTGCTGCTTGTCCTATTGGACCTTACATCTGCTTTTGACACCATCGACCACAATATCCTCATTTCTAGACTGGAGCAGTGGGTGGGCATCACAGGGTCAGCCCTTAAATGGTTTGGGTCCTACCTCTCTGACAGAACCTTCTGTGTCAATATCAAAGATTTTAGTTCGGCATCGACCGCACTCCAGTGGGGGGTACCGCAGGGGTCCATCCTCGGTCCCCTTCTCTTTTCTTTATACCTGCTGCCACTAGGTGCTATCTTCCGCAAACACGACATACCCTTTCATTTCTATGCCGATGATTGCCAAATTTACTTCCCCCTGAGGCACAGAGGCACACACTCTTTTCAGCCTCTTCTTGACTGCCTGGCTGACATCCGGGACTGGATGGCTTTAAACTTCTTAAGCTTCAATGAGAAGAAGTCTGAAGTCATGCTGTTCCATCCCAGTGGCTCACTCGTGAACTATGACATTGACCTATTCTCTCTAGCCCCGCTAGAGAAACAAAAGGTCACTAATCTGGGGGTGATAATGGACCCGTCCTTAAAACTCAACAGTCACGTAAACATGATGGTCAAATCCTGTTTTTTTCAGCTGAGACGGCTGTCTAAGCTGAAGCCTATACTCAACAAAAAGAACCTCGAGACAGTGATCCACGCCTTCATAACATCTAGGCTTGATTACTGCAATTCACTTCTGTTTGGAATCAGTCAGTCCTCCATTGCTCGTCTACAACTGGTCCAAAATGCTGCAGCCCGATTTTTAACTGGTACAGGCTATAGAGAGCACATCACGCCAGTTTTGGCCTCCCTGCACTGGCTACCCATTCACCTTCGGATCCAATTCAAAATTCTCATGTATGTTTTTAAATCACTGAACAGTTCCGCCCCATCCTATCTCACTGATCTTCTGCAGCCATATGTCCCACTGCGCTCTCTGAGGTCAGCAGACCAGATGCTTCTCTCAGTCCCAGAAACCCGTCGTAAGCTCAGAGGTGACAGGGCTTTCTCTGTTGCAGGTCCACGACTGTGGAATGAGTTGCCACTGAGTGTCCGGCAGGCTCCCACACTCTCAGTCTTTAAGTCTCGCTTGAAGACCCACTTCTATTCGCTTGCCTTTAACACGGTGTGATTTGTTTTGGTCCGGTCTGTTCTCTACTCTGTTGGCCATTTTAGTTAGCTTCTGCTGCTATTTGTATCTGTATTTCTATTTTATGTTTTCCTGTCTGCTGTGCATGTTTGGTTCTTTTGTACAGCACTTTGGTTGGCCTTGTTGCTGTTTTAAGTGCTATATAAATAAATTGGTATGGTATGGTATGGTATGGTATATAATATGCTAAAGAAATGAGGGTTACAAATTCTTATTGTGTTTACAAGATAGTAAGTTTGTTTGAAATGTTTAATATAACAACTCTAGATTAAATATATCGATCAGGGGTCTGCAACCTTTAAAATCAAAAGAGCCATTTTACTCCTTCGTTCACTAAATTAAAAGTGTTCAGAGCCACAACAACATGCTACAACTGTGGTTATCAACTGGTGGCCCGTGGGCCACTTTAGGTTTGTTGGAAGGGGCTTTTGTGGCCACTAGGGATGACATCATAAAAATAAAATTACTAATAATTTATATTTTTACCAGATTCTTTTTAATTAATAAAAACTATGAACTATGCAAACCTAGGTAATTCTTTTAATTGTAGAAAAATGAATTGAGCATAGAAATAAAGCATAAAGTTAAAGTTTTACTCCTTGTACTTGTTCCAATATTCACATATTTGCAAAATAAATGACAGGAAAACCACTAAAACCAGTTGTTTTTTTGTTGTTTGTATAACAACCAATTCAGTTTTGGTCAAAGCTTGAAAGAGCCGCTGCAGAGGAACCAAAGAGCCGCATGTGGCTCCAGAGCCGCAGGTTGCAGACCCCTGATATAGATCAACAGATTTGTCTCACTATTTGGCAAGAAACTGCTCAGTTTTGTCTCTGTCGCCCTTAATTAATGCATAATGAACAATTATTAATGATTTATAAAGTGTTTATAGAGGAATGAATAACATATCTATAAACTATTTATTAGCCATCTATAAGTGGAGCCTTATTGTAAAGTGGTACCCACTTTTTTACCAAACATTGAAATAAAAAATAAGAAAAGATGAGGGGAGTAAAATCTTAATTTATATGTGCACAAAACAAATCTGCATTTAGTTTCCAGGTACCAAGAGTCTCTGGAAATGTTCAAGGGGCCCTGAAGAAGACACTGCAGTGAGAAAGCTGCACACATTTAGAAGAAATCCTCCAAGTCACTCAACTATTTATTTATTTAAAAACTAAAACCTGATGTCAATGAACAGTCGTCTGAAAACGGACGCATGTTCAGGCTAGCCCTTCGCTCATTCCTCCTGTCAGAATTAAACGTCTCCGCCAAAATGAGTTAGTTTAAAGAGGATTCTACAAAAACAAACAAAAATCTTAATTGTTCACAACCTTTCCACAAAACTCAACTTCAAAATGTCCAAAACGTCCCCCTAGACCACACGTACAGCTGGGGGCCGAATCCCCACGGTGAGCTCAGTCCGAGTTCATTTTTAAATAAAACTGGATTTTAAACCATAAAACAAACTTAATGCCAACAAGTGCTGGATGTCGGGCCCCTGAGCTCTTGGCTTTCAGTGACGGTGGCCCCCAGAGCAGTTCAGGTGAATAGCCAGACGTCAAACTGAACTGTAGGTGGAGGGTTTGAGGAGACGTCGAGTCTTTTCTTGAAACGGTTCAAAGGTTTCTCTGCTCGTTTTAACGTTCACAAAGCAACTGTCCTTTTAGTAAAATCTAAATTTTAGTTCCCTGCAGGGACCGCAGGTTGTGCTCACCAGATAAGGAAGAATAATACACTTCGATCAGAGTTCATTTCCTCGGATGCAATTAAGTTGACTGTTTCTGCCATCCTTACCTCGGGGATGCGAACGCTGTACGGCTGCCCGTGGAAGCTCGGAGCGTTATCGTTCACGTCTCCAATCTGGATGTTTACTATATCTCTGACTACCTGAGGGTGGAAATAACTCGTGTTGGTGAAAATATGCATTAGGCAACACAAAGCCGAGGATCAGAGGAAGAGAAGACGGAGCGAACGTTTGAAAGATTACCCACGAGGAAGAGTGGGTTGAATGTCGGCGTGTTTGAGCGAGCAAACTGCTCTGAATGAGACAGGTGTCACAGAAGAGAGAAAGGAGAGGCTGAGAGAAGGCAAGCGAAGAAAGAAAACATTTTGATGCATGTAGGTGACGTGCGGTCAGCTTGTATTAAGGACGCCGGCGTGAGTAAGGGTCTGTCATAATAAACACCGTCTCCTACCTCCTGATTGTCACTCACGTAGAACTCAACTTGCATCTCGGACTTGGTCTGTTGGAGACAGAAGCACGCCGGCATCAACTTTTCATGCAAATGTCATGAAAAGGATAAGTGCAACAAAAGGCCCCAAAACAAAAGGAGGATTTAGAAACTGCATGAACTTTAAGTCCTTTGTGCGCTTCATCTCTTGTAAATGGTGCGGCACTTTTCACGACTCTTTCATCATCCCATAATTTACTCTTCATCACCCATTTTCAAAATCCTCTTTGCTTCCACCTCGCACATTTGCTCCGGTTAATGTGTGTGCAGTGTTAGGTGTGTGTTTGTGCGGTACCTCTCGGTCGAGTTGCTGTCGGAGCCAAACCACGCCGGTGTTTCTGTCTACAGAAAAATACCTCATGGCCTCCTCTCCCGAAACTCCAAATATGAGGGGCTCCCCCTCTGGATCAACCGCCGTGAGCTTGGTTATGGATGAACCTGCCGAAGAAGGTCGAAGATTAGCAGAAGATAAAGAAACAACTCGACTCGCTGATGACAAACTGATCGCTCCTCATCCATAGTCATGGGCTGAGAGTGATGAGACCGCAAACACAAACAGCCTAGATGAGCTCCCACCGCCGAGCGGCAGGACTCATCTTTGGGTATTCTCACTGGGTGGCAACAGTTTACAACTGGAAATTGCAAGAAAATAGGTGCATTTTCTGTTGTGTTCCCTTTGAATTCTGTTTGTGACAAGCAAACAGCGAGCCATGTGGCTCTGGTCTGAGCAGCAAAATGTAGAAAATCAGCCTTTTCTGTGTGCATCAGTTGCAAACCAGTGGTGCGGTGTCTGTAGTGTTCTAGTACTTGAGACCGGTCTTGGTCTTGAGACCGGTCTCAAGAGCACTTTTTGATGGTCTTGGTCTCGTCTCGGACTCCATCGCATTTGGTCTCGGTCTCGGACATTGAGGACTCGGGATTTTATTCCAAGACCACAGCTGTGGAAATATCACGAAATTGCCAGAATATTGCCCAGTTCATTTGTGAACATCTTTGTTTTGATTGGATGCAAAACGTACAGATACAAATCCAAGTGATAAAGTCACTCATTGCTAAATAAATTTTTTGTTACCACTGTCACGCCCACCCCCTTTCACTCGCACACGTCGCTCCCAGTGTGGCCAGGTTGGGCGGTTTACATTCTGATTTTGCTGGGAACTCTGGGAAGATTTTGTTGGATTGTTACATTTTGCCACATATTGTTAAATTACCTCGACTTGTACTGATGCGTGTTCATGTTCAAACAGTAAATATACTGCAACAATACATTGATTGGGCGGATTTTTGTGTGATGCGGCGGTTTTTAACAGATGTTTGAGCTGGAAAACCTCGACTATCTGGCAACACTGGCTGGGCACGGGAGAAGATGTCTGCCATATTATTAGTTATAAAACTGGTCTATTTAAATCACAAAGAATATACTTAATGCAACTATACGGTTATCCCTGGTCCTGAGTCTGACGTTAGGTCACTGAATGCCTGATTTCTTTATGTAGCTTGGAAAATTTATAAAAGCTGGTATATTCACTCAAAAGCAAACTTAAAGTTGCAGTATGTAACTTTTATTAAAAATATATATTTTATTCAAGGTCTTGGTCTCACCCTCCCTTGGTCCTAGTCTTGACTTGGTTTCAGGTTAGGTGGTCTTGAACACACCACTAGGTGTCTGCAGTCCAGTGCAGCGAGGAATGTCCAGATCTCTATATTGGAGGAACCAAACGGCTTCTTCAGACAAATGGTTCAACACAGGAGAGCCAGCTCTTCAGGACAAGACTCAGCTGTTCACCTACACCTCAAGGATAAGGGGCACTCTTTGAGGACCAGAATGTTCATTTTGGACCAAGAGGACAGATGTTTGAGAGGGGGGTGAAGGAAGCCTATGTGAAAAGAGAGAAACCATCTTTAAACGGAGGAGGAGGCTTCAGATTTCAGCTTTAGAAAACCTGTAATGGAGCTTTAGGTCTGATACCCAGCCGGTTTCACGCCAATCAAGACCTTCATCCATGTGACCAGAGTGGCCCCAAAGACCCGAATGAACCTCAGTGTTTCCTCTACTATTATACAAGCGGGGCGTAATTCCGTTTTTTCAAATGTTGTTCATTTACACCTTAGGGCCGCCTTACTTAACACAGCATGAAAGCACAAGGAACACCGAGAGGCATTTTTATTTAAAACTACAGCAGGTAATGTGCTTCATTCATCACAGGCAGTACCATTCAGACCAGTTCAAGGATCAAAGCTGGAGGGTTTTTTTTTTCCCAGTTTGGATGATCTATACATGACATCAAGGACCAGAACGTTGTTGTGGGATGATCTCAGGTTTAGATATCGTGCAGTTCACATTTTTGGTAGCTTTAAACTGCTGCAATTTCTATTTTAACTAAAAAAAAACTGATCGATACGATATGAATCAACAGCAGGGGAAACTCATGGAAAAAACAAAATCAGGATTAACCATAGTTTTATGACAGGCATGAAAGATATTACAGTCCAACAGACATCCCGATCCATCTCATGTATCCAGGAGGATTCATGACCTCTCCAGCGAGTTCTGGGTCAGATCTCTGAGGTCTCTTCTCAGTGGGACATCCCTCAAAACTTTCAAAGAGAGGAGTCCAGGAGACAACCTAGTCAGATGCTGAAACACCTTCACTGACTCTTGTTTAGTGAGGAGGAACAGCAGCTCTGCTCCGAGACCCCTGAATGACGACGCTCCTCGTCTCATCTTAAGGCTGAGCCCAGCAACCACAGAGCACACCAGTTTCAGCCACTGGAATCCAGGATCTCGTTTTCTCAGTCATGACCTGTACCTTATGGGCAAAGGTGAGAGTTAGAATGCAAGCTTGGCTTTTAGGCTCAAATCCTTTTTCAACACAACAGACCAGAGCAACACCTTCATTACTGCGCAGGAGGCCCTAATTCATTCTTATATATCCTGCTTTATCTCATCATCACTCCATCAATCCAGGACACAAAGATACTTCGAGCCGCCAACCTTTTTCTGGTCGACAACCATGGGCTCAGACAGAGGAGGGGAAGTAAGGAGCTGAACATCACTAAAAGTCTGACCTCTGAGAATCCCCGCCGATATAGACATTCAATTACCAGTTCATTGTTGAAGGTTACTGAAGACAAGTCTATAGCTGGAAAAAGACGCCAAAACGGATCATGTGAACTTTGAATGTAGACATGCATGTCCTTTAGTCCTCCTCACATAACTTAGTCCCACAAAAGAAGTGAACCCAAACTAAATCAGGCCTGTCACTTGTGGACCAAGCCTTTTTAAAGAACGACCAATTAGGCTTTACAATCACACTCCGCTCCGGTTTTATTAATACACCCCATTTTCCTATGAAAAGGTGGCAAAAATGACTAATTAATATAACGATTTATGAACCCCTTTCATTGTAGTCTAATGAGATTTATGCAAATTCAGCAGCTTTCAATATGAGTTATAATTTGGTTGGAGACGGTGCAAATTAAGCATTTTACCTCGGAGTCATCAATAATGTTTTTTCTCCTCCCTTTGGCTTTCTCGGCTGTGAAGGAACTATCTGCTCCTCGTAGACGACAGATACTTGAGTGAATGATAACAAACGTCATTTGATACGACTTCATATGAGAGTTAGTTACGTAAAACATTCCTCTAGTGGGAAAATTATACTTTATCTTGAGCAGAGAATCCCAACAGTATCCTATAAAGAACAGCTGTGGAAAGTGGTGACTGGACTTGTGAACTGCTGCAGGTACCGTACAGGCAGCTTTAGCACTCCGACAAAAAAAAAAAAAATCAGAAGTGCAATGAAACCGGTGCCTGCAAGGACAAGATCAAATCAAATGTGTCTTACATGATGCCATGATGTCACCCGTGTACTCCTGTGCTGTCAGGTTCTCTTGTACCAAGGTGACTTAAAGCCATACAAACACTTATCTCCTTGCATTACCTCATTTCAGTTCTAGGGAAATGGACCAGCGTTCCTCCTTGTACCATGAAACCAGATACCAGGAGTAACACTGTACTCCCCACAGCATTAGTAAAATTATTCCTCTCCTCTCGGTATCACCTCATGCACACAATAATCACCTAGAGTGAAATAAATCTTACTTCTAACAGACAAAGCGTTCAACAACTAAGCTCCATCTTATATTGAAGATCTTATTGTTCCAACAAAGTTAAGTCAGGTCCTCTGGACGTCTTTCATCCAAAAGACTTCTGAACCACTTTGGCCATGGTTGCCTCAGAGGAGTCGATGGGGGAGAGGGTGGACTCCAGAAACCATCTTACCACCATCAAACTGGTTGGCCCACCATATGAGTGTGCTGCTTATGGGACTGAGTTTGTTGTGGCTCCTCGGACGATGAAGTCTTTTGGATGAAAGACGAAACATTTCAACACAAAGAAACCGCCCAGAGGACCCGACTTAACTTTGTTGGATTATTTACCTGGATCATTGAGCATGAACTTTGATCTTATTGTTCCACATTTTCCAAATAGAGCACTTTGCTCTCAGACTGAGGGTTTACTTGTGATTCCTAAAGTTTCCAAAAGTAGAATGGGAGGCAGAGCTGTCAGTTGTCAGGCTCCTCTCTTGTGGAACCAACTTCCAGTTTCTGTCTGTGAGGCCGACACATTGTCCAGTTTTAAGATTTTCCTTTTTGATAAAGCCTATGGTTAAAGTGGGCTTGGGTTTCCTAAGGGTTCTGCTCCTATAGGATTGGACTGATGGAGGCCAAACTGACCAGATTTTTCTCGCTCTGCTGCTGTCTTTATGAACCAACTCTCCACAGTTGTAATCTGTTGTTATTAACCTATCCTCCCCCCCCCCACGCCCCACCCAGAAACTCCACCAGGACTAATTTTTTATTTGTCTGTCTCGTCCTCTCAAACCCCAGCCAGGTGAGGCAGTGGGCTTTCTACCAGCTAAAATGGAGTCATTCCTTCCTACTGTCACCAACAAGCTGCTCAGGATTGGAATATGAGGCGAAGTGACAATCCAACACAATCCGCTGGTTTCCTCAACTTTTACCAACCGTCATTTCAGAATGTCCCGTAAGTGTTTATATCAAATCATAACAGGAATGAAATTATTAACACTGAAGTTGCCTTTAGATGACTTCTGTTAAATTTAAATGCAATACCAATCAAAATGTCAATTGCTGGTAATGTTGTGCATCTATGAGGCATCCTTTGTGTCCGTTGACCATCATTCACAATTTTGACCATTGGATGCACTGGCAACTGCCTGATAACACTAGCAATGCTACCACTCCCCTCATGGCCCATTTGAGATGTACAAAATTAAATAAAAATAAACTTGGTTTGCACAGGTCTGCATGTGTGCCGTGTGTGTTGATACAGCAAACATTCCTCTTCCGCTTATCTGTACGACTGAAGCACCAAGCCTCGACAAACGACGGTGTTTAGCGGCAAGTGATGA